AAAAGACGTGGGCACTGCGATGTGGTGTAATGGTTAGTAAGCTTCTTGGTTGTTGGAATATATTTAGCGTCATTTTCCACGACTAGCAAACTTGCCGCTTTAGATCAGTGACGACTGAATAATGAGATCTATCCTCATTGGGTGTCCGTACACTTTCAGCCTTGTGCCACATATGAGCTACGCTTAGGAAGGTACTACGCTCGAGAAAATATCGCTTCTCAAGTTCAATTTGCACGTGCAAGTGATAATCACTTGCATGAAGCCAATTACGAAACACGAGAAAGCGCTATTTCATCACGCCATGTAATGCTCTTGGGACACCACTTTAGGCGTGCACCACCGGAGGCGTGTATCAGTTGAATCTGACTGTAAGGATGCATGCTCTTTAGTGCCGCTGCAAGTAAGCGATTCCCCGCGGCTGGTGTTAGCTTTATTGAAACTAGAATTGCTATGGTCTGTACTGGGGACGCCGTGCAGTCTGCCACTGATGCCGTCGATTTTAGCGAGCATCCGTTCTACGTGGCCGAATAGGACATGTCCTCCACGTGTTGAAATGTTCATTTGACCATTGTTGGGGAAACTGCGTTGAATTAGTACTAGTGTGACACCTGCAATGGATTCGTTCGCCTCATTAAAGTCTATCGCTACATGGATCATTCTCTAGGGCTCAGACACACGTGGTCCATTGCAAACAGTTATTACATTGTGATGGCCGAATCAAGATATCTACTGATTCGTAGTATGCATATGATGCATTTTGTTTAAAGTCCGAATTGTCCTTTAGGGTGTTACAATGTTATCATCCGCAATATATATATATATATATATATATATATATATATATATATATATATATAATTATTTAAAAAAAATATGATTCCTTCACTACATAAGAGTTCTCATGTTTCAAAAACAAGAGCTGAAAACTTCAATATAATTATTAAAATTATATTGAATTAAAGTATCAAGCTCTGCTTCATAATCAAGCGAAGATTTTGGTATAACTAATCTTGAAATTTACGGAGCTTTATAAGCATATTCATTCGTAAAATTAATTACAATGGAAACAGCTGAAGCAATTATTTCAATAAGGGACGTAAAGTTTATCAGCCATGTTGATGGAAGACAGAGAGGAGTCTCTTGGATGATTAATACAGTTTTGTTTTTGGGGCGTTAAAATGAAGAAGCCATAACAGTGTGTTTGGAAAGTTACTGTGCATTTTTCTAATCATATCGGTTAAATTTCAGATTTATTTTTAATCGAGTTCACCCCAAGCAAGGCAATAATGCCACTGAGACACAATAGGTTGCTGGGAGAGGAGGAGTTATAAACACTAACATTGTTAAGGAGCGAAAACTAAAGATGAGATATCAGGAGGATTGTAGAGAGTGCTTGACATTGCATTTAAGTTTTTGCAGATTAAACTTGGCTGGAAAAAATGGAACCGGAAGAGATTTCTACAAGAAAGAAGTGCGAGAAAAAAAAACTGTTAACTTAATTTCATATTTAGCCAAAATTTGTGAGACTTCATCGCCAGTCTAGTACTAACGATTAAATTCAAAGAGTCTGGGCACAATAGCGAATTACCATGACAGCATTTATAGAAAAGGCACGAGGTGAGGGGGGTGAACTTACAAAGGTGCGAAAGAGATTGAACTCATGTCAGCCGAGAACGTTAGCCAAAGAACGTGCAACGAGTCCCTTTCCTGGCGGTCAGCATCGACCATGCTGATGATTAATAGACAGCCGTTTAGTTTTGGATGCGTTAAAGTTAAGCCATCTTTTTTTACCTAGTTAATGACAGACTGAAAGTCATTTGGCATATCAGTTGCCATTTTGACCTTATCAAACTGATCAGACTTAGTATCGGGTCAAGAGTAAATGATTGTGTCATCAGCGTAGATACCAAGTTGAGATCTGATGCCATTGGGAAGGTCATTAATGAAAATCAAGAACAAAGTAGGACCAAGAACGGAGCCCCGGGGACACCTTCATTAGCACGAAAGGGTTTAGGAGAGTGGCTGTTCAGGATAACTTTCATTTCTCGATTCGATAGGAAAGATTAGATCAGTTCAAAAATTTGTCCAGAGACATCGTAACTTTTCAGCTTGTGAAGAAGACCTGCATGCCAAACTCTGGAAAAAGATATTATTTGGTTTGAGTGAGAAAATGAAAGCTAAAAGTGGGGAAAGAGAATCAGGTTAAGATGATAAGAACAGATACTACACTTTGATCTCAACTAAAAGGCCGTTTATTTACTTGACGCCCCACTGAGTCAGGTTGTGACACAAGGTCGTTTTTTAACGTGGGGACCTGTGTGTTTTCACTCAGGCCGCTGGTCCAAGCTGATCTTAGCTGGTCATAGCTTGTCCAAGCTGGTCAGAGCTGGTCTAAGCTAGTCATAGCTGGTCTTGGCTTGTCCTAGCTGGTCCAGACCTGAGCCGGTCCAAGCTAGTCGTAGCCGTGATCGAGTCTCAACTAAAAAGCCAGGAAGCATTTATTTTTTAATGCACTAATATATGACGCATGGTCAATGTTTAAAGTGGTTTTAACGGCAACACTGTGGAATAATTTCCCAAGCCCCACCTGGTACTTCATCTTTTGCAGACACCTAGAGTATCAGACAATAAAACCTAACTCTCTTCCAAAGGAGAGGTCCTGCCTGTGAAAGATTTCGAGATGTCCAAAGCCACAGGCCGGGCTTCACCATTCTTATCTGGAGCTTGATTATTTACGCAATTCACTCCATTAAGGTTTTAAAAACATTCTTTATAAATTTCATTCATGTTATTCTCCTTTATTCTGTGATTGAAACATGTCTGTTAATAAAAATATAAGTGCATAGTGACATTCAAAACAGCCTGTATATAAATAGGAGTGCGGAAAGATTCTCGGACCGGCCAAGAAAAATTTCCGAGAACGATGAAACATACATGCAGTTCAATACACTTTGTACTGAACTTCTTTCTATACAAGTCCTAAGGGTCACCTGTGGTAGAGGGTCACTGAAGGTGTGTGCGGTAAGAGTAAGAGGCACAGTTTATGCGGTTATCCTAAAATGATCACGGTTTACCCAAGACTTGAAGAGATTGTAGTGATTGGGAAAGCATTTCTTGGAATCCGGTTTCACAAAGTAACAGTTATTGGGAAGGAACTATCTGAGTGGAACTTAGTACTTGAAGGAAGGGGATGAGGGCAGTTCGCCTCAATTTACGCGGCGTGGTGGGTCTTAGCTGGGATGGGTTTCTCAATTTTTCGTTAAATTTTAACCGATAATTCTGATGTTTAGTCATTGAAATAATAATTTTGATAAAGGAATCGGAACGATAAAGTGCGAACAGCTGTATTAAAACTTTCTCTATACACAATTCGCGCGCACGCACGCACGCACACACACACACATATACACGCACACACACACACACATATACACGCACACACACACATACCGGGTGTAACAGCAAAATTGTCCAAATCCTGTAGCAGCAAAACTGTCCAATTCTTAGATTAAGCTTTGAATCGTTGTATGTTAGAAGTGCTAGCTTAATGGAATTCACCGAGGCCTTTTAGAACATTATTGGACTTTGAACAATTAGAATGTATTTAGCTCTAAGTTGTCATGATGATCCCTCTTAATGTTGCGATCCCTTGATCCAGTTTTCCTCTATACTGTTCCCTCTTTTTTTTTAAAACTTACTCACTTGATGGTTCTTGAATGGAATTTGAAGATAGAAACCAGAGTATGAATGTTAGCGCCATTACTGAATGCCTGAATAATCTTTTTCCTCTCACCATTGCTCAGTTAGATAGACATAGTGGGACTGACACAAAACAATTTTAACCTGTTCTCTTTATAGCTAAATAATACAAAGGTTTTTTCAGTTATTCTCACGACAAATGGTGTCAAGATGGCTAAACGTCTTAACTGAAAACCTTGGAAAAGAAACTCAATTAGTTTAGTGTTTTTTTTGTTTTTTTTTTTTTGTTTGGTATTAAACCTTTTATGGGATGGACAATTATCCCATGCTGTTACACTATTTGGATAATTTTACTGTTACACCTTATATATATATATATATATATATATATATATATATATATATATATATATATATATATATATATATATATATATATATATATATATATATATATATATATATATATATATATATATATATATATATATATATATATATATATATATATATATATATATATATATATATATATATATATATATATATATATATATATATATATATATATATATATGTGTGTGTGTGTGTGTGTACATACAAACATGCATATATATTCCTTCAACTAATTTATTTTGAATGGACATCCATTTATTTAAACTCGTGGACTCGTAGAATGTTTAAATAAACGAAGAATCTACTCAAATATGAGTATCCACTAAAAATAATGTTTGAAGTAAATGAAATATGCTTGATTAAAAGCTAAAATCTATTAATTCATTAGAAATATACGTATATATGTGTGTGTGCGTGTGTGTGCGCGCGTGTGTGTGTGTGTGTTTGTTTGTTTGTTTCTTTATTTATTTGTTTGTCTGTCTTTGCAGGGGGAGAAGAATTGATTTTAAATTATTTTTGGTCGCAATCGTTTTCTTAGGACGACTTGTATCTTGGGAAAGCAAACAGAATGGACGAATTAGATTTACTACTTTTTCTTCCTGAAGCGTCTCACCTGAATTTTTCCTCGTCCTATTTTACCTCCCATCTGCTTTCTTAAAAATATTTTTAAAAAGTTAAAAAAAAAATACAAAAAAGTACCTTGCCATTTACATCATTCTCGTGAAAAAAAAAAAAAACCCAAAAAACAAAAAACAAAAAAACAAACTGAAAAACAAAACAAAACAAAAAAAGAACGGAGAAAAAAAATCAGAAAAAATATTGAAAAGCGGACAGGGTTGAAGCAAAAAATAAATAAATACAAGCCCATCGATTTATGTTGCCCCTTCTTCACTCCTGCCGACCCA